TTTTTTTTTTTTTTTTTTTGCTTGCACTTTTTAGATTTAATCTGCTATTGATTCGATCGATCATCAAATTCAATTGTCTTTAGAATTTATTTGAATCTATTATCAAATGGTTATGATCTAACAATGAAGATTATATGACCGTCAACAGTCAACTAACAGATTTGTTAATTATAACAGTTACAACCTTTCATAAAAATCGTGTTCAGGGGATGCATGCTCAACTCAGAAAAAGGAACAAATTCTGATGCTCTGCTTGGACAGCCAAAAACGACAGATCTCATATGTAACGACATACTAGTTGGGGCGATCGTTTGGCACACAAAACTTGAGTTTAGGGTCGTTTGGCTGTTCTTATGTTCTGTAAACAATGGCAAAAAATCTGTCTTTTTTGCCATTGTTTTGCTTATTGTGCTCTAGTTTTTCTAAGCTATTTTGGGTTGTTGTGAATCGGCAGCATCATTAGCCGCACATCCTAATCACCGCAAATAATGGTGGAATCAACATTAATGCAAAGCATTGCATTGCACACACACAGACCAGTTTTCGTGATAATGTAAAAAAATCAAGGGGGGACATTTTACCGTGTTTGAGCCGACAGAGGAGTGCTGATGCTCTGCTTCGATAACCCCCAACCGTGAGTCCGACGGTTCTGGCAGCCAAGTTCGCCGACGGTAACGAAGACGGGAAGACCGGTACCGGAGACAACTCCTACGCACTCGGAAACGACGTTGCACACTACATCGACTCAACAATACTGCCAGTGGACTGTAGGACTTCACGCTCGGCGGACCAATTTTGTCCGATTTGAAAATTGAAGAAGATGGAAAATAGGGTTTCGTGTTGGGCGCACAATCAGGAAATGGGTGAGTATTGAGGGATTTATGGGGGCACGAGGAAGGAGGAACTCACGCGGCCATCGATTTGCACAAACCCACTGGATCAAAATAGCATCGCAGACTGCACGCGGCCTTGGGGTTCACGGAGGCGCAACTGTAGCAGATGGGAGATGAGGGAAGCGAAGGGCGAGAACCGGAGAGGGGCCCTTTCTCGTGAGCCAAGCAGCAAACCTTGGAAACGACAATGAATGGCAAGCAACGGTAACAAGGCATGTGAAAAGCAGGTATGCGCAGAGAATCTGCACTGTAGAAGACAGACTCGAGTTAAAGGAATATCAGGGGGTAGTTGATGTTTTATTACTCGAGTTCAAACTCGAGTTTTGAGTCTGAGTTTGAATTACCGAACGTGATATTAGGCTCAAAATTCAATCTGAATTAGGCTAACTCGAGTTTTGTGTGCCAAACGAACGCACCCAAAATAGTCTCCATCCGCCTAAATTTTTATTACTTATTTTTAATTAATATTATTTTTATTCAATTATATTAGTCAAAATGATATTAATTAAGAATAAGATATTAAAATTTAGACCTATAGCATATTTTGAAACAATTTTTAAGTAAACAACATATTTTTAGACTATTTAATTGAATAAGATATTAACGTATAAATATTTATTTATCTCACGTGAATACAATATTTATTAATAAATACAATATTTACCCTAAGTAACTGGATAAATAAATATTTAACAAGAAATATGCTGTTTACTCTAATCATATTAAAAATATGTTATGCTACTTACTTAAAATTGTTTAATAAATATGTTATTTTACTATAATTATGCGTTGTTTGGTTTTTCCATAATATCTCTCATTTCATTTCTATTACTGCCTAGAGTTTATTACACATACATCCATGAGATTGGGTGGAGTATAGAATGTCCTCAAATTATGATAATTGCAGAGATTTCCACAAAATGATCAGTAATGCTTACATTTTTATTTTCAAGTCATGTATTAAGTATTCTATGCGGAAAAAAAAAGCCTATATCAATATGACACAATGTGGCTTGCGTAATTGTATTGTTTAAAGATTATATTTAAATATGTTTGTGCAAGCTTTAGGGTTCATTTGATACGAAAATTCAAACCATGGTGATTCTAATTATGGTTCTAGAATTATAACTATGATTTATGATTTTAGATTCAAATCATGATTCTGAAACCATGATTCAGAATCAGGAGTTTGAATCACCTTGAATCAAGAGGGGAGTGGTTTTAGAATCATGATTTGTACTAGTTTAAAACATCACATCAAATTTCAAATCATGATTCAAAATCATCCAAACCAAACATTGATTCTGAATCATAATTCAGAATCAATGAAAAAAAAACACTGATTCTGAATCAGAATCAAGAATTATGATTTTAGATCCACCTATCAAACGCACTCTTAAGGACTATAACATGCATCATAATTTCACTCGGAACTCTCATCCCATTTTTCAGATCAAGTCAAAACTATTTTGTTTGTGGTACCCAATAACAAATGTCATTCATGAATTGAATTTTGCTTCTCTTGTACATATGATCAGATGACTAGCAAAAGATGACACAATGTGGCTTGCGTAATTGTATTGTATATGAATCATCCCTGCATAATTTTATTTAAAGATTATATTTAAATATGTCTGTGCGAGCTTTAAGGATTATAACATGCATCACAATTTCACTCATAACTCCCATCCCATTGTTAAGACCAAGTCAAACTATTTTGTTTGTGGTACCCAATAACAAATGTCATTCAAATGAATTGAATTTTGCTTGTCTTGTACATATGATCAGATGACTAGTAAAAGATTTAACAAATTAACAAAATTTTTCCTAATAAAGACTACTATTTGTCATCCAAGTCGATCAGTTTCTCCAAAGGTCGTCTGATCAAACCACGTCGACGCACTCTCGGCTTGATACCTTGCCCTGAAATATTATCAGAGAATCAACATGTTTAAGTATAAGGAAAACAGTAAACAAAATTTCAAAAAAGAAAAGATGAGACCAATTACTTTCTTGGAGTGGATCATATAGTATGGGAAAAAGAGATATTTCCGATGTCAAAAAACAATCTCACATAACGAGTTTTTAGCATTACAATGTCCAAATGCTGTAATGTTCCTTAGTTATAGGGTTAAACTCATTTTTAGTCCTCAAACTATAGGCCAAATTTTACCGTTAGACTTTTAAAACATCTTAGAACGAATTCATAATCTACTAAATTGCGAATCAGTTCTTAGGCCCATCCGATAATTAAAAATTTCAACGGAAAAAAGGCATACTTCATTCTTAATAGTTGCGCCCTAAGATGTAAATTTAACTCTCACTAAATGGCATATGAGGAGCGCCCTACGATGTAAATTTAACTCTCACTAAATTGCATATGGTCCTCGTATGCCTTTTCTTTTGTTGAGATTATAACAGTTGCATGGTCGGAAATACTAATTTAAGACGATTTTATAGATCGAGGACCTGTTGTTGAGATTATAACAGTTGCATGGTCTACTAATTTATGACAATTTCATAGATTGAGGGCCTGTTCTGAGACGTTTTTAAAGTCACAGACCAAAATGGGATTTGAAATATGGTTCGAGCCTTTGAGGTCTAAAAATGAGATTAACTTAGTTCTATGAGTTTGAAAGGGTTACCTTTTAATCTCCCAGCTTGATATAAAGCTTCTTCCGCAAGCGGTTTCCATTGTTCAGCGCATGAGTAGTTGATTCCCAGACCAACGCTAAGTCCTCTCAATAGATGTACAGTCCGCAAAACAGAAAACAGCTCCTCTGGAAAAGCCTAGACAAAGCCAGAGATAAATAAAAGAATTTACATTGTAGTCAAATTTGGCGTGAAACTTATTTATTTGGAATATCTTTCCAACTCCAATCCTGCTTAACTTATTGTTTATGTCTCATGATACAGATTAAGAGAAAAAAATTACCTAAAAAGGACCATGAGAACAACATCTTTTGATAGTAACAAACGTTTCTATACATTCTTTACACCCTATTATTTTGAATTAAATATAGGAAAAAACAAAAGAGTGAGAACATGCACGGCCGTCAAACGCGACACCTAACACTTGAACACCTACTCCTCAAAATCCTCAAAATTTAAGTTATGCGTTTACGTAATTTTTGGTATTCCTTATAGAGACACTTCTAAGACTACTTGTATTCCTATTTTTTCAAGTACATAGAAAATCTCTTCTTCATTCTGTACGGAAGAATTTTTTTTTTTTTCCGGCATCCCCAGGGACCAAAACAGATTCATTCACTAGAAGATGTAAATAGATTATGACAGAAGAATAACAACGTATAACCTAGTTAATAAAGTTAATTGTCACATAAAGTTTGCTCGGGAATACTCCAGAATGAGCGAGTAAAATGAGACTTTAGGGTGTACGAAACCTACCACAACACCAACTTTTTTTATTGAAGAATCCTCCGAGAACGGTTGCAGCATCGTTACTCCAGGGGGTAATTTTGTGTCGAACATTGTTTGTGCCAACTTAAACAGTTCCTCCTGCTCATTTTTACAGTTTGCCAACGTTTTTATGCCAAGCTCCCTATACGATAAGTTGAAATAATGACATCTCAGTCTCAACAAATCACGGGGCATCCACAAAAACCAAGCAGGAAAATGATACTATAAACTGAAAATATAGTAACCTTGTCTAGTAGTTATAAAATACAATTAAATGGTTAATGAATTCCCATTTACTTGAGAGAGAACATATCAAATCTCCTATTTTCATTTCCTTATTCCGCCTCTATCTTTACAAGTGTCACTTTCTTCTGTCGGTTCCCTAGGCCATACGGCCCATCCTTGTAATCTCTTTGATAAAACTGAACTAATAGAACTCAGGAAATTCAAGAAAACTGAAAACAAAGAACAAAGAATTTTTTTATTGCTGTAGCTTTGTTGAATACAAGTAAAGAACTGACTTCGAGGGTCTGCAGCCTCCCCTGCTTGGAACGATCTCCAAGACTTTTCCCACTACTGATTCTAACTTCTTTTTCCCTAAAACAACCCACTGATCAGATTCCCCACATTAACATCTAAACCCCTTATTTATACTACTAACCTACTCTAACAAACTGCTAATCCAATTCTAACAAACTACTAACTTCTCTAATCAACTAACAAGTTCCTATCACTCTTCTTGGGGGAAATAATGGCTAATTCACAAGAAACACTTGAACTGACTTTCGTTTTCAAAGGACTTTATTACCTGTAGCTCTCTGATGCTTTTACAGGGTCATTATCCGCAATGGCAAGAACAAGATTAGCATAACCAAGCCTCAATTCATTTGGTAGATCCTTAACTTGCCCGTAGTCTAGCAACGCAACCTGATTTGGCAAAGTTGGCGAGAATTAAGCTTTTCAGTTTAGTTATCTTTAGAATCTTCAAGATGCTTTTTCTCAATAATGTGACCTCTATTAATAAATTCTAGAAAAAGATAAGAACAAAATATCACAAATAAAGTATATAGCCTTTCACTTGCCTCTGAACCTTTACAGATCAAGATATTTCCTGGATGAGGATCTGCATGGAAGAAACCATTCTTCAGAATCATTTGTCCATATGCCAGTGTTAAACTCTTAAGAATTTTCCTGCACTTCCAGGAAAATGGTTTCCTGCTGTGAATACCCGATACAAAACTAGTAGAAATACAGTATGAAATAAAATTTTCATTTAATCCGTTCCTTAATAAAATGCTTAGTGAAACATTGTTATGTTAAATGATGCCATATTGCTCTATAAAAAGTCTTATCAGCCAGAGAAAGAGGTTGGGGGAAAAAAGGTACGGATTCAAGAATGAGGCCCTTTCAGATGAAAATTCGACATTCAAATGCAGCACCTATTAAGAAAACAACTTAAGAATGAGAAGAACTGCACAAAAGAAATCAGCTAGGCGGGAGAAAGAGAGAAAGATGGATTCCTCACTAGCTGGCTCCAAGTTTTAGAAGGGATGAAATAGATCTATAGCAAGTAAATAGTGTCTTGCGGGCACATATGGAAAAGCAATATTAAACAAAATGAAAAAAAAAAAAAAAAGATTCCAACTCTGTAGCAAGTTCAAAGCCTTACTGCTTCGCTGCTGCCGCCACTTTACCACTAGGATTGATGCCTCTTTTTGCTATTTCATCACCAAGATTCAGGATTGGGATTCCAACTATATATTCCATGACTAAGACCCTCCTAATAAAGGCCAAAAAAAAAAAAAAAAACAGAGAGAAAATCACTGAAATGTTCATCAAACTAACTTAGAGCACCGCTGCACCGGCAATGAACTGCAAGAGGACAGACAAAACAAAACAAAAATCCAAGGGAAAAAAATAAGAACAGCTTATCAGTTGCACGACTTGCTGAATTAGCCAAGTCACTTCATTGCCCAAAATCAAAGCACTGTTCAGTCAATGGTGAAAGTGGAAACTGGCATAAATTATGACACTGGCGTTTATTAAAACTGAGTAATATGAACTAAAAATAGGTAGATTTGCTTGCTGTATGTCAGAAATAAGTAACCACAAACATGTTTGGAACCACAGAGAAAATTTTAGTTTGAAAATAGACAAAACATTTCGAAATGTGGTATATGTTGGCCATAGTGAATGAAAAATATGTGACCTACGCTTGCTAGCATTTTTGCCATGTTCCTAAACATTTAACATGTTTAAGCATTGACATCTTATCAAAATAACTAACTTTCACATTGAATCATGCAGTCAGCGGAAACCTGTAAATAATTTAGACAAGCGTTAACAAAATGGGCAAAAAATTAACTCACTTAATGAGAGAAGTTCATAAAGAAAAACACCAGTTGGATACAAGTTGAATACTGGTTTGTCATTCTATGCTGAAATAGTCTCTAATTTTCATGAAGAGAATATGCATTCCATCAAAGACGACTATACACAAATTTCTTAGAAACACAACCATGCATATATATAGATATAACATACATATAACTTGGTATGTTTCTTATTCTAATCCGCATTTGCAATTTCTGACCATATTACATTGGGGTGAAGCATTACAAACCTAGTGACCAAATCCCGCACCACTCGTGGCACCAAAACGGGAGTCTTTTTGTTATTCTCATACAGAAAACGTCGAAGTTTTTCCATAGCATTAGCCTCCCTCATGAAGTCGAATTCGTATCCAATCTTAAATAGCATAAATACAGGGAAATTATAATCCAATACACTCATATCTTGTATCCAAAAAAATGCCGTCAGAACAATGTGAAACCTGTTTCTCCATTTCCTTGGTCACAGAGTAGAGATCAAATTTGATATCTGTCTTTTGCATATATAAAGCAAAAGCTTGTAAGTTATGGATATCAGTCATCATCAGATCTTGAATTCCAGGATGTTGCACCTATTATAGACATATTGTGGACCACAAGAAGTCAGAATTTTGCAGAAATTAAGAGCCCACAGTGCGATTCAATTTTTCTCACCTTGACAACAACATCACTCTTATCGCCTTTTAATCTTGCTCGGTGAACCTAATTGAAGCAGAAGATATATAATCAGCGGAAATATCCTGAAAAACACAGTCTATTCTAATATTCCCACAAATACCTGTGCAATTGAGGCAGAACCAAGAGGATACTCGTCGATACTTTCAAACATTTCCCAAATACTTTGGCCAAACTCCTTCTCCAGCACACGTTGGACCGCATCAAATGGGGTTGCAGGAGCTTGGTCACACAGTGTGACCAGCCTCCTCACCCAAGCAGCAGGGGCCAAGTCTGGCTTCCCAACAATTTGTGCAACCTAAATGAAATCCCATCCAAGCCATGTCGACATTAAGCACAAAAAGTATAAAATATGAAGCTAAAAACCATTCTCCAACACCCATAAATTCTACAACTCGCCCAAATCACAAACAGAAAGGAATAAAAAGGGAATGAAAACAGGATAGGTAGTCAATAAAGCATGATCCTTTAAGAAATAAGAATAACAACAATTAAGTTTACAAGAAATTCGAAGTTTGACACATTTACCCCCACATTGATAAACTAAGAAGAAGCATCGGAAAGGCTATATATAACAAGAAAAGAAAAAAAAAACAATTTGCAACAAAATGCTGAAAAGCCCCTAAATTATAAATTTTGTGGAAGTTGGCACATTTTACCCATCATGGATAAACTAAGCAGAAGCATTAGAAAAGTATATTCAAGGTTTTAAAAAATAGTCAATCAGAAACAAAATAAAGCAAATTCAAGCAAATGGACCAGAACCCATATAACAGAATTCACAAATCCCCTAGTTGGAAATTGAAATTGAGGAAGTACTTTGAGGAAGAAACCGCCGAGGTCAGCGCACATGGCGTATATCTTATCAGCCGCGAGCTGATGCTGCCTTTCCCACATTTCCTCTTGCTTCTGCACATCCTTCACAATACTCACCCGGAGCTGAAACACCTGCACAGAACAAAACAAACCCATCAAACAAATCACATAAACAAAACAAACCCAATACTCCAATGCATAAAAACATCACAATTTGCATGCATATACACATTGATACATATATATATATATATAGAGAGAGAGAGAGAGAGAGAATATTAACCTTGTACCCAGTATAGATATCAGTAGCTCGGACCCAGAACTGGAAGGAGCGTTGCCAAGGTCTGAAGTGAGTGGTGAACTTTTCTTGGAAATCCTTGAGATCGAGAATGGGCAGAGGAAGCATTGGCGCTTCTTCTTCTTCTTCTTCTCCTTCTTCTCCTTCTTCTCCTTCTTCTTATTAATATTTTTTTATAGCTTTTGATCCTTTTTAATCTTATGATGAAACATGTATGTTTGAGAAGAGAAAGCAGTGAAAAGGAAGAGGAAAGAGAAGAATTGTGGTTGGAAACAATCGAAAGAGTGAGAGAGAGAGTATAAGCAGTGAAGGAACGAATGAATGAATGAATGGGATGAAAGTGAGAGCTCCTCTCCTCCATATGGCGAATGGGATGGCCTAAACGCGTGGCGTGCAAGGCTTCTTGTAAACAAAAGGTTCTAAACTAAAGTGCCTAAAAACCTTGTCATGAGAAACCTCGACCAAAGTACTTGAGTCTTGAGTTTCTCTTTTCTTAATAATAATAATAATAAAAATAATAAAAATAATAATAAAAATAATAATAATAATAATGAATAATAATCATAAAAGTAATAATAATAATAGTAATAATAATAATAATAATAGTAATAATAATAGTAATAATAGTAATAATAATAATAATAATAATAATAATAATAATAATAAAATCATTTTATTATTATGTCCTTGTTATTTTAGTATATTTGAGTTACTGATTAAAGGGAGATGGAGGAAAATAGGTAAGATTTAAGAGGAATTAAAATTATTAGGTCAATGTTTTAGAAAAGTTAATAAATAAGTCAATTTAAGATAAATCTAAATTTACAAACACATGAATTTCTAAAAGTACTCTTGGTAAATATAAGATATGTCGATAGTCTCCCGTCGCCGGTTGGCCATAACCTGACAGATTACACCGGTCATCGGCGAAACAAGTTATGATCCATAACGTGATAGATTATACCGGCCACCGTCCATAATCTATTGGGTTATGATTCATAACCTGACAAATTACACCGACGCAGGCCATAGTCTATCAAGTTATGATCCATAACATGATAGATTAAGCCAGTCATCTGTCGCCGACGCTAGCCATAGTTTATTAGGCTATGATTCATAACCTGATAGATTACTCCTTCCGTCGGCCTCCGGTCACCAGCGCCGGTCATATTCTGACAGGTTATGATCCATAGACTGCCAGTTTATGCTTCATAACCTGACAACTTATGTTTTATAATCTGTCAATTTATGAGATTTTGATCCATAATCTGTCAATTTATAATCTATAAATTGTCATATTATGTTCATATCCTGACAGATTATACTTCATAACAGCCAGATTATTAAGCATAATCTGCTACATTATGTTATTTTTTCAACAAATATCACTAATTTTATAGCAACAATAATCAAATTGAAAAAGTCAAACACAAAAGAAATATTGAACAATCAATAACACAAAAAAATTAGTACAAATACAATAGATTCAAATCTCAAAAATAAATCTTAGATCTCAAAATCATAATCTACTCTCGATTTAAGCATAATCTATCAATAATTATAGCATTTTTCCTTATTCAATTTAGTTTTTGAGTCTCGCAAACTTCATTTTCCACCTACCAAAAAGAATCGACTTAAAAGCATCATATATGAGATTTTTTTTTTTATGAAAAGATACTTTATAAGGCACACCGCCAACAAAGAAAAGGAACAAAGCTATTTACCAGCACATAAAAACCAACACCACAAACGAAAGAGAAACTCCCACAAACCTTGACCAAGCAAACTCACAATATTGCAGACCATCTGCTAAGCCTTTAATATCATAGATTAGCACTTAAGATCATCTAGAGACAATCATATAGGAGAATTGATTTTCAAAAGCCAATAACTCTAATTCTTAAACCTGTGAAGTATGCATATATTGGAGATGTGTAGAATATATGAAAATAAGGGTTTCTTCTTTTGGAGTTTAACTTTGAGTATAATTCTTGAGTTGAATTTGAGTTATAATTTGAGTTGAACTTATAACTTGAGTTTGTGTTTGGTTGTGTACATTTGAGTTATGGTTTGAGATAAGAATCTTTTTGAGTTTGTGTTTGAGTGAGTCAAAACTTGAATTTGTATTTAGATAGTATTTTAATAAAAACTCAATGCTAATGAAAAATTTTAATATGGTATATGGGTCGGGTTTATTCGTCTTTTCGTTGTCAACGCATAAAAAAAATCATCTCAATCAGAATTCAAACGAAAAAGTTATAATATTTTTAAGAATAGAAAAAATAATGTTCATTAATTTGAGTTCGAATTTCTGAACTCAAGTTGAAGGGAAAACTTGAACTCGAGTTTTAGTCATAAACTCGAGTTTGAACTCGAGTTTAAACTCGAGTTTAAACTTAAAAGAACATGAACTCAAATAAAGTTGTAACTCGAGTTGTCTTTTTTTGAGTTTTTCACTCAAAAAAACAAGCCCTTATTTTTTATGATGGTACAATCACATGGTAAGCATCTAAACACATAAAGCTACATTGCACAATAACAAAGAGCAAAAAAATCTGAATTGCCAAATTTAAACAAAAATACTTTCAACTAAAAAATAATACGGCTAAAAAGTAAAGGTATCGTTTTATGAACAAAAGATTCTCCTCTTTAAAAAGTACGGCATTTCTCGTAGTTATCAGCCAATAATAAAGAATAATTAGAAGGATGAATAAAGTATAACCAAATTAAACAAAAGAAAATGAATGAATAAAGAACATCACTTACTTCATGCATTGAATTATCGCCATTACTCTCAAATGGTTTGTTTAACCACTGAGGAAAATCTTCTGATGAGTTGAAGATGTTAGGCAACAAAAAGTTTAAATAACTCCTCAAGATTGTTTTGCATAAACAAAAAAAAAAATAAAAATAAAAATGACTCAATATGTCAGATCAATGAGTTCATATAAAAAAAGAACAATCTTCTTGTAAATTGTTGTCTCAGTAAAAATGCTTGTTTCTTCTTGTGGGGAAGACAAGAATTTAGTTTTTACGTATAATGAAAATTTTTTATTTTTTTATAGTACCAGTTAACTACGACCTTAGTGGTCAAAAGGACATCCAGATCCACCAAAATCACAAATTTAGATATGGATCCGGCGAACTCGCTGAGCGTAGAATTAGATCTGGCCAACTCAGATCTGCAAATCCGGCGAACTCAGAACTCGGCAAACTGAGCTGCATGAGGACGACAACAAGGAGAGAGGTCGACTGCCGGCGTTTGTCTCCAAGCGTGGAGAGACGCTCCTACGAGAGCTCCGACAAGATCTTGCACTAAGGAGAACCAGCGTTGCAGCCTGTCGGTGATCAGGTTTTGAAGCGGCGATGAGTGAACGAATTCTCAAATGACAATGAAAGGAGACTTCGATGTTAATGGAGGTACAACGACGGCGACGAGAGAAAACTCATGAGTTGCAGCTCTGGCGACCGAACCTCCGATGAAGAAAGACTAGGAGGTTGTTTGGTTGGGGGATTCGTCCCCTGATTCAAATCATGGTTCGTGGTTCGCTACAGTATTTTCTCTCATAAAAAATACACGTAAATCGAAAATGGTTCTAATCACATGGTTCTAATCACATGGTTCTAATTCTTGAACCAAACGTCTCCTAGTTCTTCTTCTATTTAACAAATGCACAATTTAGAGAGAGAGAGAAAGAGAACAGATCGAGATAGAAAAAGGAAAAAAGAAAAGGAAAAAATAGAAGAAAGGGGTAAATTTGGAAATGAAAAATTAAAAATACAAAATGGCCTATAATTTTCATAAGTTGGTAAATTAGCTTATTTACCTCCATAACTTTTAAATTTTGACCTATTTCCTACAATTTCCCTTCAAAATTGATGAGGGGATTACCTTTTTTGTTCAAGGAGGCAAGGAGCACTAAAATTTAAACAGCATCCATCAAGTGGATGATGTGGTCCACACTTAACTTCTGTGATAAAGTACAAAAGATATATATTGTTGGTAATATTTTACGATCTCATGCGCCGGTCGGATCATATTAGAATCATATTTGGTGAGATTTAAATTCAGAATTTCATATGAGTTTTACTCTACGAGAATTCTTCAAAAATTAAAAGCACATTATAAATAAGTAAGAGGTTGTTTGGTTGGGGGATTTATTATCTGATTCGAATCATGATTCGTGATTTGCTACAGTATTTTTTCTCACAAAAAATACACGTAAATCGAAAATAGCTCTAATCACATGATTCTAATCTATGAACCAAACGTCGTCTAATTGTTCATCCTATTGATTTTTTTTATTTTTTTTTCAGTTTCTTGTTTTCCATTCTTTCATTTGTGCCAGTTTGTAACATTCATCCGCATTTCTCATTATTGACTAGTCTTTGCAGTACATTCTTGTTGGTGATTGGTATTGCAACTAATATACAATAACTAATTTAGAAGAGTTTCCTTATTTGATTGATGAATTCCTCAATTGTCACTATCAGGTTCATGGCTCAATCAATAGAATTGGAGTGCTCTTTGACTTGTTTGTCAACTCTCATCCGTTTTTGATAGTGTATGGTCTAGAGTGTCATCAGTTGGCACTAAAAATTTAGTTTTAGAAAGAAAAAAAAAATGTGAACCACTAACTTTACGAAATCCCAGTATGGATCAAAACCTTGTAGCGAAGACAAAACCAAATAAGGCCAAAAAAGGTAGCTAATGAAAAGAGCACTAAAGCAATCAAGTGGGCACAATGATGAAAAAAAAAAAGAACCAACAAAAATCATGAGAATTGATTGATGTATATGGTCATGCTTCGTATTGGAAGCCATCAAAATTGCTTCATGTGATGAAGGGCCACGCTTTTTCCATTCTAAGCCCGTTCCCTTCAGCTATTTGAGTTTAAAATTTAAATTTTATTATAATAAAACAGAAACAGTCACATTTAAATTTTTTACTACAGTAAAAAATTCTCACATAAAATCACATCTTAACTCAAATTTAAAACTCGAATCAATGAACCAAACGGATCCTAAAAAAAAAAAAACAATGGATAACGTTTCATGCCTTTATAATTGATTTTTAAATGTCTTTGAAAACGTTTCTTCCCGTCTTTTAAGATATAAAAATAAAAATAATTTACAAATTGTGTTTGTTTAACACATGTTTTATGAAAATAAAAACAATAAACAATAAAAATAATTTTTATAAAAGAATTAAAAAACGGTTAAAAATTATTTTCTCTTTTCTATTTTTATTTTCTAATTCTTATCAACAATATTATAATATATAAATTAATAATTATAACCAAACACGATTTCACTTTTTTATTATACTTTGAACAATATCCTAAAAAATCAATCAAGCGCAATTTCAGAATCGGTCCCAAAATGATTCTTAAAACAATCTCATTTTTACTTTCGTGCTGCAAACAAAATTATCTTAAAAACATTACCAAACAAGCCCCTAGCCTTTTGGCCCAAGAACATAAAAAATGCTTCCTTGTTCAAGTAGAACAGCCTTGTTTTACTTCATATTCGAGTCATGAAAAATACATGGATTTGATGTCATCCTCGAATGCATTTATCCCTCGGAAAACACAGGCACTCAAAAATGAAAGTTTATGAGAAAGTGCAAAACAGAATAAAAGCAAAAGGAAGAAATCCAATATACTAATTCATGACAAACAAGGCAAAATACAATTCAATCAATATTTAGATAATTGAAAATCCAAGTTCTATACTCCAGTTCTTTTTGATTACCAACTGTTGCAATGAATTGCAAATTGCAGTAGACCCTACCTACAAATCAATCACCCGGGATAGTTTTTGGATCCGGTTTAACAAGAAGTCTCCTTGCTTGATGGTTGCTTGGTACAAGGCATTCTTTGCATCAGGTCGGTTAGTTTCAAGAACACCTGCAACTTTGTCAATCTTGCAGTGCAGCTTTCCTGCTGCGATGAATCGAGACAGCTCCCTGAAACCGAAAAATGATAGTTTAATGCAAATGTCAAACAAAGTTGAGATACGACTTTCATAAATAAACAATAAAGAAAGAAAGTCAAAATGAAAACTCACAAATCAATGAACTCCACCGTCACACCAAATGCCTTTGCCATTGCTTCAATGGTGACACTCTTATAGGATTCCAAAAACTGAGAATAAACCACAGTTCTGACCTCCCTCATGTAGTACCGGAAATGTGGATGCAGATAGCGATCCAATTTTATTTGCTCAGTCAGGCCAGCTGAAAGAATAAGCGGTAGTTTATGTAAACTACAAATCAAGAAAACAGGCTATGACATCATTGTTACAAAGCAAGAATATAAAGTACGGATGCAAAAAGCTCCACAACTCTATGTTAGATCTAGAAAGGCAAACCATGATAGTTTACAAAAACTAGAAGCCAATATCTCTAGTTACCTTCAAATTATAGATAAAAGAGAGAAACGTATGTGCAATTTAAATTTAGATTTCCACTTACCAAATGCTGTAAAAAACGATTTGTACTGACAGTCATATAGGGAGTTCAAAAAATCAGAAAGGTACGGCACTTTTCCAATCACTGCCAGGATCTCAGGTGCATCTACCACCTATCCAACATTGATAAGTAACAAAACTTGTAAGCATGCCAATTACCTAGAAAATTTGAAGAAAAATACTGGAAAAGAAGGTCAAATTACATTTCAAAATAAAATGAATACCTTTTGTTTTAGAGAAACTCTATCCAATGATATGATGCTTGTAAGGACGGTATAGAATATGAAAGTATCATACGGGAAAAGTTCATAAGTCGTGAATGTAGAAATTGAATCCAAGAACAACTTGGCTGCCTTCTTAAAATTCCGTGTAGACATGTAATACAAGCCTTCATATACCTTCAAACGATTCTTCCTTTCCCAATCACCTCCCTCTTCAAACAAGCTGGCATATAATGGTGCAAAATTAAAACTCAATATCCAATGCAAGGGTATTGAATAAAGAATATGGTAAGCAATTCACATATTCACTTACCTCTTTGCTTTGTCAATGCTTTTAGAAATAAGATCAAAATCCATGTAGAAGAAACCAAGTTGCAGCGTGTAGAACACTAAGTCCATCTTTTGTCCAACTGCAACAGTTTTGCTTTCTGTTACTTTCAGCTGTTCCAATGCTTTCTCCTGCATTTAAAAGAGAAATTATAGACACAAAATAAGACACTACTGGAAAAAACATATTTTCAGAACTTTTCTAAGACGAAAAAGTTATAACAGTTACCTACCTTGTCAGCAATTCGAATGAAAAACAAGGATTTGGCTAAATGAGCTTCTCTAACTTCACTTTCACCCAAGTTCTCTTCGGCATCAGCAATCCTTGACAACATCAATCAGACACACTTACTTAGTACAAAAGAAGATTAATTACATAACATGGCGGCCAACTGATCTACCATGGCATCAACTTCACTATGAATGCAATTTTGAACAGAACTCATTTCTTATTCACAGACTGAAACCTGTCGACTTACTCTTATTCTTCATGAGCGACTTACACATTGAACATTTAAGCTGCCTCAACAAAGTCATATGTACTGCTAAAATACAATGCATAAATGAAAGACTAAAATGAAAAACACATGAGCTCGATACCCCATTATGACTACTGAAACTAATCCATTGATCTGTTTCTTAGCCTGGACTGACCTATAATCCGCAGAGCCACGACGTTTTACCACTCAAAACACAACCAATTATTACATGCACTTACAAATATCAAGACAAAGTTTTCTAGCCAGTTAGACACTTAGACTAAGAAATATTATACCGAAGTCCAATTTGTTTACAATCTGCCTAAGTTCCGCTAAAAGCCGTAAAATCATTTTTCATGTTGAAACTTGAAACGCATTAAGTTCATTAATCAATTTCGCACAACATTCATCAGCAAAGGAAAGAACGAAATCCATATAGAGCATTGAAAATATTCAAATGCCGAACCTTTTTAATTGTTAGGGATCTCATATCACAAAATTAAACATTTACTAACCTTTAACAAAGCAATTCAGCAAGCAAATACATTTTTCATTCAATCCAAAAAAGCGCAAATCGAAAACTAAAAACTGAATTTTCCTTCCAAACTCTCTATGCAAACCAATACGAAATTGCAAGACACGAAAGCAAAAAAAAACTCACTTCTCGTCGAGCTTCTTGAGCTCCTCCTCGATCTTCGCGCGCATTGAGTCCAACACGCCCTGATCCAGATCCAGAATCACCTCGGCCACTAGGGTTTCGTACAGCGGAGCCATATCTACACAATCAAAATGAAAGAGGACTCTCATTTGAGAAGAAATCCAAATCAAAATGACTGAAAAAACGCCATAATCGATCGAATTCGAGGAATTTACCGTCGGCCTTGACGGAGGCGAAAACCTCCTCTCGGAGGCGGACTTTCTCGATGTCCTGTACATCGGGATGCGATAGCAGGAAGAGCTTGTGCGCGAGCACCAGTTGAGGCTGCTGATTTCCTTCTTGAGCTTCCATGGCGGACGAACTCACTGAGTTAGGTTTCGAGTATCACCTCCGTGTTGTGTTATGCTTTGCTTGAGGAAGGAGAAAAGTGATAAACAGTCTCGGAGAGCTTCGTGTTTTCTATTTTCTATTTTTATTTTTCAACATTTATTAATCAATTATTCATTTGGGCTGTTGTTTATACAGCCCATATTTTATTTGGGCCATACTGAGCAAAACTGTGGGGGTGATTTACACATATAGGCAAGCCGCAAACAGAAAATTACATTACAGCTTCTACCCTTCTAAATACTCAACTTACAATATTCATTTAAAAAAACTCTACCACTTAATGAGTTCTAATCCAAAAAATAAAAATATATGAACTAATATTAAGAGGTTGAAATAAAGAGGACCTCCATTTTAAGAGATATTTTAAAAATTTTCCTTATAGTAAAATTTTGATGTCAAAGTTTAATTTTAGCAAAAATTTTAAAATATTACAAGAATAACAAAATTTTATATAATTTCTATGTCATTAAAATAATGACTATATCATTACATAGTACTAAATATGATATCATTATACTAATTACTATGTCAGTTTTGTTATAATTATAACATTTTAAAATTTTTTCTAAATTTTAACTGAATGTATGAAATTACAATGTAATGTAACTGTGTAACTTAAGCCCAGTATAATTGAAGTGGAAAGTTATGCCCTGTTTCATTTCGCACATTGCTAACTTGAGTTGAAAATGAATTTATATGAGAGAAAATATTATAAAAAATTAAATTTAAATTTTTTAAAGAAAATATTATAACAAAAAGTTTGAGTTATGAATCGAATGGTATGGAATGATGCCTAAATATATAGTAAATTTTACTAGTTTTGTTGAAATAAATCGACAAACTTATAATATAATATTCTAATAATAACAAAATAAAAATATAATAATTTTTAACTATAAGATCTAGTACATGTCCTCACTAAAAATTGATAGTGTACAGAACAAACTGTTAAAAAATTAATCTATGGTTAAAATATAATTTCTATTTGTGGAGCGAAATAGTCTTTTACACTATAAATGCACCTTTTTTATTTCAAGATGGTGTGAAATATTTTCTTCATAAGTGTTTCTCCTATAGTTGTTCATCATATCCAATCAATCGACCAAATTGATCATTCTAATCTAATATTTATGGATAATTGACCTTAATTGCATTGTATTGGTATAAATTCTTAAAAATTAACTTGGATTGGATTGAATTTTCATTTTATTTTCAAAACACCTAATCTAAACTAATTCAACATCATATATATTATATTAAGTATATTTATATTTATATTATTGGTCAAAAAATTATAGATATATATATATATAGGCTGTTTAATTAACACTGAAGTTTGTAATTTGGAGTGCACATGCTTATTTAGATTTATGGAAGTTAATTTTTGTTTTTTTTAACAATAGTATTTAAATTATGTAAAAAAAAATCCAACAAATAAGTCCTACCGAAAAAGAAAAGTGTAAAAAGCTCGAGCTTAAAACTAGTTGGTCTAACTAAACGGATTGGATTTAGTTAGATCATGTACTAGTAATTGAATTGACTTGTTTGGAGTTTATAAAAATCAGCTTCGGAATTAGATATATTATATAATTAAAATAAGTTAGATTGGATTGGGTTAGGTGAATATTGAATGTGTAACAATGACAAAACACTTAGGAAATGAGTGCAATAAATAGGAGAACTATTAAGGGTTCGTTTATGCCCCGTTTATTTTATTGATTTAAGTTTAAAATTTAAATTTTGTTACAGTAAAAAATTTTTAAAAATAATCACATTAAATTTTTTTATTGCAATAAAAAATTCTCACATAAAGTCACATCTTAATTCGAATTAAAAACTCAAATCAGTTAACTATATGAGCATTTAATTCGTTGATTTGAGTTTTTAATTTGAATTGAGATGTGATTTTATGTGATAATTTTTTATTATAAAAAAATTAAATATAATTATTTTTAAAATTTTTTTAATGTAATAAAAATTAAATTTGTGAAATAAACTGTTCTTAGAATCAATTTGACCATGAGCAAAACTTGACCGTACAGTCGATCATTGTTCCTGATTGGCCTTCACACTTCACCGTCCCAACTTCAGAGCGCGGGAGGGAGAACCAAATAAAGAGGAGCTTGGAGAGAGAACAGAGTTTTTTTGATTAAACGTTTCTTGAAATAGTGGATTCAATGGGGAAGAGGAAACTTTCGAAAGAAATAATCACGATCGACCTCGAGTCTCCGACGTCTCCGGTTGCAGGTAAATCGTTCTTAGCTTCCCTTTTGGGGGTTTTTGGAGTTCGGAATGTTGCTCTAGGTTTGATTTTAGGGTTTTCGTACGGACTTTGATATGGTTCAACCGGTAATTTTTTGTTCTTGATGATGTTAGTGGAGTTTCTAGATACATTACTGACTGAAAAAAAAAAAAAAAAACTTGAAAAGTTTAGATTTTTGAAAGAAAGTTTTGCTTAGATATTTTTGAAGATAGTTTACCTAAGAAAAATAAGATTTTTGTTAGAAAAATGTAAACTTTATTCACATTTTACTTAATGCAAGTAAAAATCTGGTTCTGCGGAGAAGTCTTTAATCCTTATGGCTTTTTTAATCATCAGTTAAGAATTTATAAATTACCTAAAAAGTTTGGAGATCTTCAAGGCTTTGTGTAGGTTGAACTCATTTTAACTTGAATATTACAATGTGATGAATGACAAAGGAAAGTTAAGTCTAAATAGTACTAGGAAATTATAGATGCAATAATTTGTACTGTTGAGATAATCTAATTCATGAGTTTGTTGTGCTCAGATTACGGGTTTTCGCAACATCGATCGTGCTGGAAGCACGTTTTAGCAACCTTAAAGGCTCGCAAAAAGAGGTTAACTAAAAAGGAAACTGAAGCAATAGATAGCTTCAAACTTACTGCCCCGTGTTTGTTGAACCACACTTGTGGCGAGCGGTCGAAGAGGAAAACGACCTACGAAAATGCGGGACATGGGGTCTCTAAGCTGAACAAAGAGCTTTTGTCCAGCACTTTCGAAATGTACTTTGAGTAAGTTGCGGCGCTCGAGCAAAGAAAGCTTCAAAATCTATTGCTTTTAGTTTTAACTTTTTGTGTGTGATTTGTGTAGATTCTTGTGGAGGGGTTTCTCAGAGGATAAAGGAGCTTCCTGTGCTTACCTTGACTGTTTATGGTTTTCCCTGTATAAGAAACGAGACTATAAATCCAAGGTTCTAAAATGGATCAAGGACAAGAATATTTTTTCAAAGAAATATGTTTTGGTTCCTATAGTTATCTGGTTAGTGTTTTCTTATACTCGTGAGCTCAAAATATTTGCTTTCTGACATGTTAGAGTCTATGGTTTTTGAGTTTTTGAATGTCAATTCTTCTAGGAGCCACTGGAGCTTTCTAATCTTCTGCAACTTTGATGAGAGTTTGGAATCAACAACCAGGACACCGTGCATGTTATTGTTGGATTCTCTTGAAAGTGCGGATCCAAGGCGGCTTGAACCAGATATAAGGAAGTATGATTTTCCTTTCATAAAAAACTGGTCTTTTCTCGTTTGACAAGGGTTTCCTGATTGTGAATTTGGCTTTTTTTTTTTTTTTTTTTTTAAAGATTTGTATATGACATTTATAGAACCGAAGACAGGCCACAGACTCAAAAGAGTATTCTTAAAATTCCTCTCTTAACGCCTCAGGTGACACTAATCTTTTGATGACTTCCTAGATGAGATATTGTATTTTTTTCCCTATGTTTTTTAGTTCCTACTTAATATCAGTCTAAAAAAAAAAATCAGGTGCCACAACAGAGAAGTGATTGGGAATGTGGTAACTTTGTTCTCTACTTCATCAAATTGTTCATGGATGGTGCTCCGGAGAATTTCAGCATCAAGGATTTCCCATATTTTGTAAGTTTTTTTCCCTCTCGTTTGTTTGTTCATTCCTTGGTCTACTGTTCTTTTGATGTCATGTGTATTATTGATGAAAATTGCCTTTGAATGAAACTCTGTAGATGAAGAGAAATTGGTTTACTCCTGAAGACGTCGACTGCTTTTGTGAGGGATTGTATTCTGATGTAGTTGCAACGCGATGTTCATAGGGATTGGACATACAGTATGTACATGTTTTATAAATTAACTTAGCCAATTCTTTTGAAGATGATCTTAATATACACGTCTTTGCAGTGTTTTTCTCTCGCAAAAAATTTAAATTTCAAAAATCAAAATCATGAATCATGATTCTGAATCCATGAAAACCAAACAGGCCCTTAATTGTAAATCTAAAGACGTATGTTAATGAAAATCATGATGAAATGAATTCTCATTTGCTGTTAGTATACTGTTTTTTTTTTCAAGGCAAGTGTGTGGTATTTAGCATGCGCTAAGTCAACCCAACTTCACTTAAACACAAGAAACCAATGGAAAAGAATTTTGGGGAAAATACCCTTTTTTTCATGTGAGAATTTGCAGGTGCTTGGATTCTTGGTTTCATGGGCAAAGACTATGCGAATATTGAAGTTTCTGTAATGGTTATATATGCATTCCTTGAAGAGTTTTTAATTGGCTAGAAAAATATCCACCATGTTCTCGATCTCTTTAGGTCCTAGAAAGTAGAATGTTCCATTAAGTTAGCATTTTAAAGAACTATGTCGAGCCTTCACTCATGTGCAGCCCCTGATATTAGGCCAATAAATTTGATTTCCCCTGAAACTGATGGGCATTCTGTTCAATTTGGCTATCAACGTACACCATTTGGCAATAAAGATTCTTGGCTCTGTTTGACTGTCAAGGTTCTTATCAATAGGTAAACAAAAAAAAAGACCGTTTTTGGTAGCTTGTATTTTGTTGTGTTGTATATCATAATACAATATGGTGTTGGTGTCATGACGTATTATATAAAGGCTCAAAATGTAAAATTTTAAAGAATTTGGGCAATTTTTTAAAAAATGTATGGTCAAAATACAATTTTTCAAAAATTTTGGGGTCAAAAATGTAATCTTGCAAAAATTAAGGGATTAAAATGTAATTTTTAAAAAAAAATATAAATTTGTATTGTGTTCTCTCAATTTTTAAATAATTATAGGTTTTGGCATGACCTTATGTCGGCGTGATCTTAACCTTAATCGTGTCCAATCCCAACACTATCATAGATCCGTTATAGAATAATATAATACAATATACTAAAATTGAACTATATATTATAATACGACATAAATTGTATTAATTTATCATTCGTATTAGTTTATACAATGTAATGATCATACTAAATATTATATTAGGGTATTATCATATAATACAGTGCTCTATAAAGTCAAATAAATGTGGCCTAATGGAAATTGAATACGGGAAGAACCTTATTCTGAGGAGTCCCAAACCCCAAATATGAACCGCAAAATGAACCTGGATAAAATATGAGCAGTACTTCATCTTCATACATCAAAGATTATGAGTAAAACTCAAAAAAAGTTTGAACTCAAGTTACAACTTTATTCAAGTTTATGTTCTTTTGTAAAATTTGAGTTTGAACTTGAGTTTGAACTCGAGTTTTAACTTGAGTTTGGGGCTAAAATCTGAGTTCAAGTTTCCCCTTCAACTTAAGTTCCTAAACTCAAACTTAAGTTAATGAACAATATTTTTTTTATTCTTAAAAATGTCATAATTTTTTCGTTTTAATTCTGATTGAGATGATTTTTTTTCTATGCATTCACAACGAAAAGACGAATAAAACTCCACCCATATACCCTATTAAAATTTTTCATCACCATTGAGTTTTTATTAAAATACTATCTAAATACAAATTCAAGTTTTGACTCACTCAAACACAAACTCAAATAGATTCTCAATTTAAATCATAACTCAAATGTGCACATCTAAACACAAACTCAAGTTATAATTTTAACTCAAATTATAACTCAAATTCAACTCAATATCTATACTCAAGTTACCATAACTCAAAAATACAACCGAACAAGCTCTAAGTATTCATTTATGTTGAGTTTAAAATGGATCAATTTAGGGTACTTTATACCCAACTCAATATGGAAGGTGTACGTTAAAATGATCCCAGTCATCTTTCTCAAAGTCCTTGGTATTAGCTTTTGTTTGGACTGTTTTCTGATCCTCCAAGGAACCATACTATTATAGCCCTACGTTTCATGGGTTTTAAGTTTGAACCCATTATTTGATTTAAAAACCATGTGTGGTTTTTAAATTTTTGAACCTGGATTTTGGTTGAGAACCCTTGACAATCCAAAATTTTGGTTTAAAACTATGGTTCTCTTTCTGGTTTATTCACAATTATAACATTAATTACTAATTTAAACTTTTATTCTCTAATTTAATATTTTATTCCCTGTTTTAACTTTACAGTACCACCAAATGCCAAATCAAACCAAAAAAACCCACCTTAGTGTTACAACCTACATCTAGTCTTTCCAAGTGACCTACAAATCTTCCTAAAATCCTAAAATCAAGTAACTATTAGCAATTTTTAGAATAACAAATAATGGGAAAGAAGATAAATATCTTTTAAAGTGCACGAGTCTTAATTTTTATCATTTTACTCTTAATAAATATCATTTTTAATTAACTAATTATATTAGTAAAAATGATATTAGTTAAAAGTAATGAATAAAAATTTAAATTCGTGCGTTCTGAGAATAAATTCAACAATTTTTTTAACAAATAATAAAAGCAGAAGTCCAAGTTCATACCTCTAGCTATAGCAATTAAATTCGCAATCTTTGAGAACAATTAAGAACACTAAAATTAGAAATTTGTTAGTTAGTCTCTCCAAGACTTTATGCCCACGACAATGATAGAAACTCACAAAATTTTTCTTGAAGACTAGAAACCCTATCCCTTGGAAATTTTTTAACGTTATATTTTTCTAACGTCTTCTTCCCATCAAAAAAAGACAATAAATACTGTAGATGAGTAGTTCCAATACCAAAAGATGTGTCCCTACATTTTAGGGAAAATAACGTTTCAGTGACTCTTAATTTTAAAATTAAATGGGCCACAAAACTGAAAATATTTATTTTTTTATTAAAATATAAAAAATAAAATGTTTCTAATATTCTCTCACTTGGCCCATAAATTACCGGTATGTATTAACTAAAATTAATACATAAACAAAATTTTCCCTAAATCCTTATATGAGTTTAGTTCGATAATTTAAGTTTTTAATTCGAGTTGAGCACAACTAACACTATTATACTGATTTTAGAATCAACACAACTACTATAATTATAATTTACCAAATACTCAGTTGCTTTTGTAACAGCTGCTTCTTCATTCAGTACAGTTAAAAGTAATTTTTTAAAAATCTACAGCACTACCAAACTAAGCCTTAATGTGAGGACTTTTTACTGTAGCAAAAAAGTTAGACGCGACTATTTTTGAGAGTTTTTTACTGTAGTAAAACTCTAATCGGTAAAATGAACGGGACCTTAAGATGTTTATAGAGGTTAAGAAGGCTTTTTTCAGGACTTTTTAAAATTTGAGGATGAATGTTTGTTGTTTATAACCTTTAACGAATTTTACTCTCGATCAATAATCTCATTATTGGCAACTCTTTATGAGACGTTTGGTTCATGGATTAAAATCATGTGATTAGAATTATTTTCGATTTACGTGTATTTTTTATGAGAGAAAATACTGTAGTGAACCATGAACCATGATTCAAATCATGGTTTGAATCCTCCAACCAAACGTCTCTTAGTGTCATTGCTCAACAATATCAGCATAACAATTTATGTTCAAATCTATAAATCAAATAGGCCATAAACATTCAACTCTATAAGTAAATATTAAGCTCTAACAAATAGGCCATAAACATTTACGTTTGGTTGGAGGATTTATACCATGATTTGAATAATAGTTTATGATTCGCTACAGTATTTTTTCTCACAAAAAATACACATAAATAAAAAATAATTCTAATCTTATGATTTTAATCCATGAACCAAATACCCCTGTTTCGATAATAGCAGAAGCATCTTGAAGCTCTAGTAGTCGATTTGTTCAGTGAGATTATGTGCGTCTCTACTTGTGTATACCAAAAATAATACTAATAACAATAGCAGAAGCACGTGTCACGAGCACAACATTACACGAAGCATGGTATGAATTGGCACGAGATAAAAAAAAAAAAAAAAAAAAAAGCACTGATGTATGAGGTTTAAGTGTACAAAAGAGGTAAAGATACTAGTAACTTTCCTTTAAGCTTAGTGGAGGAGTTCATGGGAAGGCAGAACAACATTTTCGGCTAATTTGAATGTAATTAGTTTGTGTTAGAATCCACCACCGTTGAAGATTGTGGTTCTGTTTATTTTACCGATTCGAGTTTAGAATTCAAGTTTTTTTACAGTAAAAAACTCTCAGGAACAGTCACATCTAACTTTTTGTTACAGTAAAAAGCTCTTACATAAAGTCACATCTCAATTCAAATTAAAACTCAAATTAGCGAACTAGATCGTAAGTTGTTGGGTCCAATCTCAGAATGGAGTTGAAACATGTCACTAAGGTCATTAAGGCAATTAATTGTCTTTGGGCCTCAGTTCCTCATGCGGATGCTTATCCAAGACTACCTTTAACACCCCATATTTAAAGCTATTATATTGAGACCATATCTCTGAAAATAGTCTTAATCACTTCAATTTATTCCTATCCTCTGAAAAAGGAAAGTCTTAATATTCATTAAAAAAACTTTATGTTATTTCAGTAATTAGTGACCTTACTAAAATGAGCTATATAAAATGCAACTCATAAAAAAAACACCTCCATAAATGCTGGAGTTTCACCTAACCGAAGAAGGAAAAAAAAAAAAAAGCTCCATAATTGAAACTATAGCATTTTTTCCATTTCATTATTTTTTTGAAAGGATAATGTTTTAAACTTTTCTTGTTGCAATAATTGTAATATTTGTCACTAATATCTTTCAACTTCTTCGATAAGAACATAAAAAATAGACTATCTGTAGCTTTATAATTTTTAGTCATTAGATTTATACGAAAAATTATCTATTCTGTATATTTTTTTAATCTCAAGTGATTTTCATCAGATTTAATGATTAAAAAATAAATCCTACCAGTAAGATAGATTATCAAAAAAACTCCTTCTTTCTTACATAAAAAAGGATTATTTCTTAAATATAGAATTTAAATTCTCCGTCTTTAAGTTGAAAAAACAA